CACGTACTTCATGTCTGAGTCTTTAAAGTCTTATAGGTGAAACACACGCACACACACTGCATATCCTAGTCTCTAAAGTATTATAGGTGAAACACACACACGCCATGTCTGAGTCTCTAAAGTCTTATAGGTGAAACACACACACTCCATGTCCTAGTCTCTAAAGTCTTATAGGTGTAGCACACACACACACACACTGCATGTTTGAGTCTCTAAAGTCTTATAGGTGAAACACACATACTGTATATCTGAGTCTCTAAAGTCTCATAGGTAAAACACACACACACACTGCATGTCTGAGTCTCTAAAGTCTTATAGGTGAAACACACACACACTGCATGTCTGAGTCTCTAAAGTCTTATAGGTGAAACACACACACACTGAATGTCTGAGTCTCTAAAGTATTATATGTGAAACACACACATACTGCATGTCTGAGTCTCTAAAGTCTCACAAAGCTGTACAGGACTGGTATTCCTTTTGCACACAGTGACACATCACAGCCAAACTAGAGATCGGTGTCTCTCTGTGGAGCTTGCGTGTTCTCTTTCATTTTGAATAATATGAATGAACATAAATAGTATGTATGCATATCAGCCATAGTCAATAAAAAAAAAAAAAATTTTTCTGACATTTGAAGAACAGTTGCTTAAGAGAAAAAAAACACACTGACTTGAAGTCTTCCATGGGATTTTTACAGTTTAATCACATATGATTAATCAAAATTCCATCCAGGCAGGCGGTACTGTTGTGCTACTACAAGAATTAAATCAAAATCGATAGCCTGAATGACAAGCAGTAATAGATAACTTGAGATTTCAGGAAACATCAGTCTGAACTCATGGAGCACTGACAGCAAGAGGCTAAACTTAATCATCTAGGAGCCAGCCGACTGCCAGTAAAAGATCGATGAAGATGTCTGAGTAGAGGAGGGGGCTACTATACTGTGCTTTATGACACATGCACAGAAACCATGTCTATGCCGAGAGAGGAAACTTCATCCTATGATGAATGCAGTTGGACACCATCTCTCAAAATTTTAAATCTGCCACTTCATTCATGATTGGTAAATATGGAATTTAAGTTAAATAACTGTTGAATTTAAATCAGAGTGCCTACATTTCATTACAAAAATTGTCATTTAAAAGGATACAAGCAGATAGTCTTACACCGCTGAACATTTAGCTGGGCTGCTGTATTCTACAGGTTAGTAAGAAATACACTTAAAAATGTGAATTTGGAAAGATGACTACAGATTTAAAAAAATCTTATTGCTCATTTCATAGTGCTTTGGAAAAGGATTCTCCCCCTTTGTTCTATTTTAATGTATTACAACCTGTACATTCAGTGGATATGTGACAGATGTAAATCTAATGGAACGAATCAAAATAGTAAGCATTGATCCATGATGAAATGTTATTCAGAGGTTTTAAAGGCTTTTGATGGCTTGCTGAAAGAGGGGAGAAGAAATGATGAGAGGCGAGCATATGATAAGTTTGACGGCATACAGCAAAGAGCCCTGGACCTAAACTTCTTCTTACTGCAATGATCAGCATATGTACACTGGGGTCCTATAAAGTCAGTTGAACTTTCCAAAGTTCTTGAAAAGGTATAATCAAAATATTTTTAAAAAATAAAACCAAAACCACTCAAAGTATTTGGCTTTCAAAGAAAACTTCAGGTGTCAAAAGCAGACCTAGTGCTTCTCCTCCCCTCCAAGGCAACAAAGGCACGGTTGTGGCAGTATCATGATAGGGGGGCTTTATTTCCTGCCTCACCCTGGGAAATGGAGCCCACTTGAAGTAGTGATGGATAAACCTTTTTCACTTCAAAGAGCAGACTGGAAACGATGTTCACAGTTGGAAATGAGAAGGGACCCTGAGCTGATTACTGCAGCAACACTTCAGCGGTTTAAAGGTAGATATGTAAAAGGCATGGAACGGTCTAATTAAGGCCCACACCACTGTCTGATTTAGATCAGTTTCCTTAAACAACTTTCACACTTCTGAACCCCAGTAGAACTCATAAGGCTTGCAGGAACACAAATAGCATTTACCTAAAACTTGGCTAAAAGTACATGGAAAAGACTAAAGGTGGTCTACAAGGTGTTTGAGTGTACATGTATCTATACAGTGGAAACAAATAAACAAAAGTGTCTGATTGGCTAAATACTTTGCGTTGAGCAATCTATCCTATCAGAAGGTGAACAAATGTCATCCGAATGTCGAAATGACATCAGCGAGCATGTGTTGGCTGGAGAACTTCTGTCTTCTCACGTGGTTCGGTGAGCTTGAAGGTCACCGTTTTAACTTCAGAGTACTCAGCCAGAGCATACTCTCCACTAAGGGGACAGAGGCAACAGGTGAGACAGGGCAAACATGTTCGAGAAGTACGATGTCCAGTGGACGGGATGTAAAGGAAAACCGACGGCGCTTACAGCTCTCGTCCACTGCCTGACATCTTGATGCCTCCGAAGGGAGTCTGGACATGAAGGGCGTTGTAGCAGTTTATCCTTAACAGGCAGAACAAGACAGCATGAGTAAGCTGTTGGATTTATTTTAACCAGAACCACACAGTATTCCTTGGAATTAGTTTCTAATTGGGGAAAAAAAGGCTGACTGAAACATCGATCAAAGGAAATGGATTTTAAAATAAGACAAAAGGATCAATCTTGTGGTGTCGGTCATGTACTTGTGCACAACACCAGTGTCCTGCATGTTTTCCCAGGTTTCCCTGCTCCAGCTAACTGATTCAACTGATCAACTTTCTGCAGACCTTTAAAAAGCTAAAGGGCTGTCTCATTTATTTCCATCAGCTGTGCAGGAGCAGGGACACATGGAAAAGATTCAGGGCCTTGGTCCTTGAAGACTGGGATTGAGAAACACTGCATTATACAAAGAATGAACATGACATTCTGGTTTTGTAAGCCCATCTTGATAAGTTGAGATTCATTCATAATGTTTGGTGTTTTGGTCATTTTCATAAGAATATATATTCACATTTACTGGTATCAGAATAATAAAATCATCTTAAAACACTTGCAGCAAGGACTACTTTGTCAATTAATTCGTGAAATTTATTGTAAAGTTTTTTGTTTTGTTTTGGAGACTTGTCCAAATGGTTCTAAAGGCCATCTGCCCCGAGAGCGGGGACTCACCAGACAGTTCCAGTCTCCAGGGCTGCAGACACAGACAGAGCTCGGTCCATACTTGTCGTGAAGACTGCCGACACCAGGCCATACTGGGAGTTGTTTGCTCTGTCTACAGCCTCCCGCTGGGTCTTAAAGCTGAATATACACTGCACTGGACCAAAGATCTGTAACAAAGATTAACAAATATATAGGTGGCCCTCAACCTCCATGTACTACCAAATGTTTTTATTTCATTCAAACTCTTTCTTTAGCATTAGGGTTAGATAAATATAAAAGGGGAAATCAACCCCAGGTTAGGGTTAGGGTATGGGGTGGTGAAGTTTAGAGGATGCAGGAGGTGGAGACAGGACATCCCACACTCGACACACAAACTCATCCAACCAGCGGACAAAATGCTTAAATCACCTACCAAACTCAAGTAAAAGCTACCAAGGCTAAATAGCCTTAGAAGGCCTGCTACAAGTACTAAACAGACAGTCATTAAGAATAATAGAAACAAGCCAACTCACCTCAGTAGCCACCTGGTTATAAGGGCTAATTCAAACCTTTCTCTCCATTTTTAGACTCAGCTCCGTCTAAGTGCTCCCCCCGCTGGCCCCAGGCTATTATTGCCTCTTCTAATCCAAATACATTGACTGGACCTTACTGCCTCATCTGACATATCCTTCACTGTTTTCCTCAATCTGTCCACTTACAGCAGACTTTGCAACAGATCCTCTACCGCCTGCTTCCACTGGACAGAGCCTAACTTTCCATCCTCTCTGCTCTGCTTCTGCCCCACACTCTGCCCTCCTCTCATACCCTTCTTCTACTAAGTCCTCCCAGGGAACAGTCAGCTCTATAAAATGAAGTGGATAAAATGCTATTAATGAAATGGAATCTAATGGAATCTACTGTAGTTTAAATGAGGATAAATAATACTAATACAAAAATCCACTAAATCTATTAATGTAAAAATACAAAAATAGAGTGAAGTACAGTTAGCCAGTTTTGGTCAGGTTACCTCTGAATTGCTGGTTGTATTAGTTGTTACAGAAAATCCAACATGCAGCACCATGTATCTTCATCAGGTTTGTGTATTAAGATAAACTGTTACCTCTTCCTTGGCAATCCGCATATGGTCTTTAACGCCAGAGAAGATTGTAGGTTGAATGTAGAGACTGTTTTCACCCACAGCTTTGCCTCCATATTCCAGCGTAGCTCCCTCTGTTTTCCCACTCTCTATCAGATCCATAATTTTTTCAAACTGCTGTTGGTCGATCTGAAGAAAGTTGCAAAAAGACAGAGACAATCCAATGATATGGCTTTAAGAATAAGCCCCGATTCCCATGTTTATCATCCCTTTCAATGTTACTGTAGAGGAAGGGTTGGTGGGTTGGAGGGTAGACAATCTTAGAGTTGATTTCCATCTCAGATTTTCAAACATTCTCTCAAAAAACAGGAGAAACTGAGGAAATCCTCTAAAGATGCCAGTGACTCTTTTAGTTCTGAGATAAAGCTGTCATGGTTTGGAGTTTTGGACTTTGTTTTTGAGTTTCTGTTGAATTTCCCTCGTGGTTTTGATTATTCATATTATAATTATATTACTAATTTAAGAATTGGTAGTTAACCACTGTTTGCAAGGTCCTTGCAGTGTGATAGATAAGGTTGTACAAAAGATGACATTATACAAGTCATACCAAGACCTCTTTGGTCATTGTCATAATACTTAAATCTTTTTGGGATCAACTCTAGGATTTAAATCAAGTAGCCATAGAAAGCAGCCCCCCTGGAAATATCTTCAAACTACTTTGGGGACATGAAAAATGCAAAAGACAATATATAATCTTTGTACCTGTGGCCCATGTGATGTCAGGGGGTCCAGCGGGTCTCCGATGACAATCCTCTTGGCATTCTCTACGCTGCAACATACAAACTCCTCGTAGATGGTTTCCTCCACAAAGACCCGTGATGCAGCTGTGCAGCACTGACCCTGGTTATAAAAAGCTCCTTTTTGAACTACTTCCACAGCCAGTTGCACTGCAGGTACATGCACACACAAATGAGAGGATGCTTTTTTGTATTTGTTCTTTTTACTCTATAGGGGGAAAAAGCACTTTTAAAATAAGCTAACAGCAGAATAAAGCTCATCCACGCATCCATTGTCCATACTGATTATCATCCTTGCCATTATTGGGCGAGAGGCATATTTCTTCAAAAATGTCTTCACGTTTTGCTGTCTGAGTGAAAAGCTGTTGATTTTTGGTCAAGAAATTTCACTGAACTATGACCTTCTAAACATGAAAGCAGGATTGTGACATGTTCAAGAGTCACCATAAAAGTAAGCAACTCTCACTATAATCCTCATTCACCACATCTGAGAGGCTCAGAACAGGACTTTTAAAATGATTGCCTGGCGCAATGATCCAAATTAAAACCATGTTTTAATCCTATTTGGGAGGAAGAAACCACACAAACTCCCCAGAGTAAGACCCCTCACCAAAATTCCCTCACCCTTACTCTAACCACCACACCACCATGCGGCCCAACGTTCATCTAATCTTGACCAAGAACAAAACAAGAGAGATAATTTGGGATTTTTGTAGAACTGGGAGTAAGAGGGACAACAACAATATAATTTCCCTTTGAATGTACTTACGGTCGCAGTCAGCAAAGACGAGGCATGGGTTTTTGCCTCCCAACTCCAAAGTTATTCTTTTTAGATTACTTTTGGCGGCTGCCTCTGCGATAAGACGGCCAACCTGCATGAAAATGGAAGACGAGCTTAATTTTTACACATGCGATTTTAGACAAGAAGATATAAAAAATCATTCTGCCGTACTGCGTGCCAGAGGGAAGCTAATGCTAATTTTACACCTACATTGTCACAGTCTAATGTATTTGGAAATATTATGTCTTAAAAATATACATGTTATCATCAATAAATTACATTTTTTCTTTTGACTGGTTATCAGATTCAGTGGCTAACCCTGGTTGGGTTAGACTCAGCAGACTCAGCAAAAAAACTCACCCAAACAGGAGATAAAACACCTGAAACACCCACACAATACTAAACAGGCCTACTACGGTCATTAAGAACGACGACAGAAACAAGCCAACTCAGCTAAGGATCCCAGCTGGGGTGTTTCTCAATACCAAATACACTTTGAACGTAGTTGTGTACTTACTAGTTAGGACTTGTCAGAACTACAAACTTCTAAGGACATAAAAAACACAAGTGAACTCACGATGCATTTGGAATGGAAGTGCACTGCTTGGACTTCCTGGATTTCTTCTTTTTCTATTTCAGGTCTGTTTGTATTCTTGGACTAAATTTTCTCTCCCTGGTTGGGTTTGGAAACACCTCACTGTCTACAGCATCTTTACTCCCAACTAACAGGAGTTCTGTCCTAGCCTTAGTACATTTAAAATGCTCTACTAGACTAGATGTTGGGGGCTCGATTAGGCCATTCCCATCCAGTGTCCCAGTCCTGAAATCTAGGAACACCTAGCCACTTTTTATATCTTTCCATATCTGCTCTACCTGCTGTCCATCATTCAAGTCTGTCTGGTACCACCTGCCTAAACCCTTTACTAAGTTTTCCCTAATTAGTGGGATTACTTCTTCATATATTACCCACCACTTAACTTCCCTCGACTGGTTGAGATGTTTCCTGACTTGTCAGTCCAGAAGCATCTTGTTTTTTTTAAATAAAAGTAATGGACAGACTGTGGAAGGTGGTGGATCGAATGTTATTCTCTTTACATTTACTTCAAAGTTGTGTTTTTTAGTAGAAAAAAATTGGGGAAGAACATGACCAATAAAACCTGGAATGAGCTACAGAATTGTATATTCTAAGGATCCGAGTACAAATAGCTAAAGTTTAACCAGTACATTATTTTAACCGTGGGGCTACACACAACAGCAGATTCAGCATGTGGGATATAAAATAACCTGGCCATTTGACACCCATGGGTCTGCTACAAAGACTATCCAAACTGAATATATAAACCACAACTTACAGCTTTTCCTCTTTACTTTGGTGTCATTTAAGCATTTTTACAACTTAATCTTATAATTCATCATAACTCCCATTATAGTACTGTATAGTTTAACATTGGTCAAAATTGTGGTCAAAATGGTTATGGTTATGTCACAGAGAGGTGACTTCTCTTACAGTCATTACCTTAGTAGAGCCTGTGAAGCTCACTTTGTCAATGTCTTTGTGGTTTGCGACGGCAGCTCCTGCTGTCAAACCAAACCCTGGAATGATGTTCACAACTCCAGGAGGGAACCCCGCCTCGAATGGAAACACAACGCAATTGATTTTCTCCAGCAACAGATATCATTTTCTTAATAGGAGGCATTGAAACAGCTGAAAGGAGAAGATTTAAGATCTTGTCAATATGAAATGATTTAAGGCATTTCCCCTGTCTCCTCACAGATATTACCATGACATTTACTACTAATACCGATGTCATGGCTCTCCAACCATACCTCTGTCTGATTTTTGTTGCCCATTATTATCATCTTGTTCCTCAAATTTAGATTTTAGGATTTCTGATTTGGCCACACCTTTTGATTCTCCTTTTCTTAAATGCACTTATGTTCAGTTCTCCTTGACTTGCTGTTTCTTTCCTGGTCTGTGTTTGGGTAAAACTCGTTTGAAGCGGCATGTGACCTTACAGAGGTGTTTCACAACCCTGTGGCACACAAGCTCTTAGATTTGCTTTATCCTAGACCCTGACTTCCCTCCCTTTCAGATGTGGCAGATCTGGAAAGAGAAGCAGCATCAGCATGCAGTCCAATGTAACTATCTTCTAGGTCCGGTTGGGGCCTTTTCTTTTGTTTGAACATATCCCTCCCAGGATACCAGCCAGAAAAAGGCATCACATTCATCATTGCATCGGTCTCTCCAAACCTCCAACATCTACCTCTGCAATGGTATCTTCACACATCTGAAGCTTTTGCTTCTTTCTCTGATACAAGCCTGGATGTTCTTTCTCATCTCATCTTTGCAGAAGCAATAGTAAGTTTTTCTCCCAAAAGCAGCTAAAAGGTGATCTGACAGAGCTGATACATGGCTTCTTCCTTGCAGTGTGGACTGTGTTGGTGTTCGATGGTCCTTTAAGCTCCTGAGCTCATGTGGCTGTGGGGATCAGTTTCCTAATGGTTTCTGCAGAGGCCTCCAAGCTCATCCAAAAGGGGTTTTGGTCCTTTGCCTTTCCCTCAAATCCTCTTAAGCTGAATATAAATTCCATATTTTTGTTTTTCTGTTTTGTAAATATCATGAAATCATTTCTTTGGACCTCTGTCAATTACACACACCTGTAGATTTAGATCAAACTAAAGTTTGCTTTGCATTCAAGAAAGATCCAGGAAATGGAGCTGATAAATCCAATTGCTGTTATGAAGTTAATTCAACATATTTTAACTTTATATCATTACCTGTTTTAAAATCCCTCCCGCTAAAGTAAAAGAGCTGATATGGTTTTCAATCCATTGTGTAATATCTAGTCATAACAGCAACACAATATAAAGCATATCCATTTAAAATTGTGGTTTAATAAACGAGTGGGTCTAAACCTGCCAGCAGTTTGCTTGATGAACCCCACATTGTAGTTTTATTGACATCAGACCTCTTTGATGAGCGATCCAACATGGAGGGCCGTGAGGGGAGTCTGCTCTGCTGGCTTAATGACCACAGTATTCCCACAGCTCAGGGCCGGCGCTACCTTCCACATGAATATCAGAAGAGGGAAGTTCCACTGGGACAGACAAAAGACAACATATTTAGTGACTGCCCTTTTCATGCTAAAACTGAGGAACAGGAACATAGTATCCCAGCACACATGGTGCTTTATCCACAGATCCCCGCTTTGGTCAGGTTACTCAGTCTGAAATGCAAGCTGACACCTGACTTTGATATCTAAATCCTGTTAGCCCTAATGTGTCGTTAATTGTCTTTCAATACCCCAGACCTAAAACTTCCCACAAGCTTGTTCGTCTTTCTCAAACATCAGTTATCACTGTATCAAATGTCAATACATTTTAGAAGAGACTGTGTTTTCCAGTGCAAGTAAGCAACACCTACACACAAATAAACAAACAAACATACATAATATTGGATTGCTTGCAAATTGGCCAAACAAGCAGCCATTGTGGACAATCACAGAAAAACAAGCATGTAAAAACTAGTAGCATGTCGGCTAATCCCACGATACACTTACTGGAATGATCGCACCACAAATGCCAACGGGCTCGTGTTTGGTTATACACAAGAAGTTTTCATCTGCGCATGGAGAGACAAAGAAAGACGCATTTGTTTTAACGTATACAACTCAACTTGTAGGACTTTATCCGTTAAAGCGAGACTACACACTCACCTACGGGCAGACTTTTTCCATGAATCTTGTCTGCCCAGCCTGCATAGTAGCGGAGAGTCTTGATGCTACCTTCCAGATCGATGTAGAAGGCCTGGAGGAAAGGCTTCCCTGTGTCCAGGGTCTCAAGGGTCTTGAGAACGAGGAGAACAAACATCAACATTCGATCCATTTATGCCTCATCCTACATTTTTTTTAACAAATGATGGCACTCATATCGTCCTGCTCGTTGCCCATCCTCAGTGCCAACAACCTCAGTGAACTTTTAAACAGGATATAGATCTTTAGATTTTCTTTTTCCTCAATGAAACAGCATGGCAAAAAGGAATGCCAATTAGTTCATCTTATCAAGCTCTGTCCTGTTGGGTCACCTCATGTAGCATCTTGTGGTGGTGGCAGTATACAGTCAAAAATGTGTGGAGGCGTAAACTCAGATCATTTCCCCCTTATCTAAACTATTAGGAGCAGTTGAACTGATCTGTTTTCTGGTATGTTGATATACCGCCTTCCTATAGATAGATAGATAGATAGATAGATAGATAGATAGATAGATAGATA